CAGACAGTTGAACATATCTTATATAACTCACCTTCCGAAGGATCACCTTTTGTATCACGATTCAACTTCAACTCAAAACGACAGCCATTCTCTGGCAGGTGTCATACATAATCAGTAGGTAATCGTTGGAACTCTGGCGAATTATTTCAGACAAGCTGAGTGTGCAGATTACTGTCCTTCATCTCTCCTTAATCCCATTCGCAAAATTTGAAACTCAGCTGCTGTTGGCTCTGTCACTATTTTTTCCAGTTGGAAAACTGTTCTTATTGTAAACCAGTGCACACATGTTTAGTCGCCCATGTGAAGAGCTCAAACGGACTTTTAAAATTACATGTAGGCAATCTCCGGTCCTTCGGTATGTGGCCTCAGTTTACTTTCCGGAGTATGGTTGTGCATGGGTCGATTTGCCTTTACCACATGTAGAATAGAATTGATTTATTCTAGCACCCCTCGAAGCTTCCAGTCTAAAGAAAAATTTAGGAAACTTCTTAAAATCATCCTCGTCACTTCTTTTGCAATTCCCTGCTTGCATAAGTCCATGTCCTGAGTGCTGGGTCGAATTGAAATTGACAGGGTCACTGTACCTTACGAACAATCATATACCTTTTATTCTTAGGAAAAGTGAGTCATAATACTGTGAGTTTTTGCAGTAAAGATAGCGTGGGTATTTGCTCTGCTTCTATCGCCCTAAAAACGATTACTAAATTACATTGTTCTACGTTACTGGTGCTCGGAAGGCTGTAATGAACTAAGCCATATGTCAAAACATTTGATTTTACGGTTTGGACGTAAGTAGACGTGATCAGCATTTGATGCTTCAATGGGTGACACGTTATATCCCAGCTCGCTGAGAGAAAACAACGCATGGCAGATGACTCTTATGATTGTGTAAACTGAGTACTATAAATACCGATCGTTCCGACGCTATCCGAAGTGCAGTAACTTACATAATCAATCACCAGTTGACCCTGAAAAATAAAATGTAGATTACCCGTCGGACTGGGCCACGCGCCTGTTCATCTCAGTTTGGGTCATCATTTGAAAAAAAGGGAATGGGATAGTAGATTCCGAGTTCGTTGGATTCAAACTTTCATTTAAGCAATACGGTCCGTTGTAAGTGCGAAAACCTGTTCAGAGACGTTGACGTGTCTGGCGTAGTTTTTTCGGTAATGATCGATTTTTTGGAAATAAAAGTTCATTAGCTTTTGGACGTCGTTATAAATAGTGAAAAGACATACTACTGACAGACGGTGAAATACATGCATATTATTGACTGTTTGACTGGAAAATGCTATTTTTAAGCTTCTCTTCTTCTCCACAGAGGCATGAGAATACCGGAGTTCTTCCGAACGTTCCCATTTTTTCTCGAACTTCGGTGGGGAAGTGCTACAAGCGGCTCTTATTCTCCGTCTTGCGGGGTCCGAAGTAGCTGCCGCGTTTTTGGAAGGTTCAAACTTGATGCACCTTGGTTCACCGTAGTATGCCTTTGTATGATGACCATGTCATTATAATTCTTAGTAGCTTTTCAGAGCTTAAGTTTCCACTGGACACAAGGCAAAAGATAATTAAGTTCAGTTTAGTTCACAATATTTAACGGTAACAGGCAGTGCATTCGTAGGTCCTACTGTGAACGGTACACGCAATAACCAACGTCAGACAAACACGTTACTGGTGTGTTGTCAGTAGCAATAAATAAATTGATTTATTAAGTATCCCTGGAGGTACTGTCATAGCATCTTGCAGGATGTCGTATCTTTCAGAGCACTGCTCCCTAATAGTCTTCCTAGCACGTTGAACGACCAGGTTTATCTTCCGAGACTTTTAAACTAGCGACATTAAAATTCACCTTTATAACATGTGTGTTCGACTTGGCCTGGAATACTGTTCATTTTTATTTAGCCTTATGCGTGCTGCTCAGCGGAAGAAAATAGAATCTGTCCAACATTTTTTTACCAAGAGAGTTTTAACCCCGGAACACCGACATCTGTCTTACAAAAACGTTGTCGGCTTACAGATCTTGATCCTTTATGATTTCGTAGATTACAAAGGGGACTATTTTTACTATTCGAGCATTTATATAATCGTACCTTTAACCCACTCACTACTTTAAGACATCTTGTTCACCTCCAACGTAACAGTCACCGTGAGGTCTTTTTATTTCTTCTTCTGGCACGTACCGTCAAAGGTCGTCGGTTCTTTGCTGTAAATGCAATTGCTATTTGGATTAAACTACGCAGGAATGTGAAAACTCTGCAAAATTATCCCTTGTTTAAGAGGACTCATACTGGGTTTTTTAAGTCGGAAAAAGTTCCGCAAATTTTGGGTTCTGAATCCATTGATCGACTGTACCGTAGTGATGGCGTTCGTGTTGTCTGAAACCTATGGCCGGTCTCACTAGGGAAAATTTCTTTAGTCAGCAGCGACATCTATTTTTCTGCGCTTCTGTTTGGACCAACCCCATGTTCATGAAAGAAATTGGCTCCTGATAAAATCCGAAAAAGTATTACCACTCCCTTTCTTGACTCTCGGCATTTTATGAGCAACGGTTTTTCTTTCTCCTGAACCCTCCAACCTATACAAAACCACCATCAACTTTATTTTTATTCATTTTTCGCAGGAGTTTTTTTAAACTGTTGGCCGGATTTGTGTCTAACACTTCCGTGACAATAGCTGAAAACTGGCATTAAATACTATTATTATTATTATTATTATTATTAAAAGTATAATACTTTAACACAGGCACTCTCAGTCGTGGGGGATAATGTTAAGTATGAAATATTATTTATCCACCTTAACGTCAGGCATGTCCAAAGTGCTGGTTTGGTAATATCACAGTTGCACTGCCCGGGGAGCCCGTGCCAGGTACCGAGATCAAATACAAGAACGAGTACCCATAGGCGTCCAGAAGTCTAGAGGGATCTTCGCGTAGGCCTGCTCGTTGTGGCCAAGGCAAGGAAGTGGTTGGAGTACGGGATCCGCCTCTGAATCCTCACAATCCGCTCGTTCTGTATAAGACCTCAGATCTGCCTGTACTCAAGAGGAAATAGGATATGCACATTAAGTCTGCATCTGTAGGATAAATTCTTAAGGCCCTTTGCGGTCTTATTTGCCCTCACTTGAACTCTTTTCCAGCAATGTATAATCATTTTCAGCCAGGGGCGCCAAGATTAGTTTCCATATTCTAGCTGCGAACGAATAAATGCCGCGTATACTTTCCCAAATAGCTCGCTATCTGTGTCTATGAAAGTTCTTTTAATGGCTGAAAGAACACCGGTTTTCTATTTTTGATGCCCTGACTCATTAGGAGCACGGCTTCAGAGAACACACAGTGGTGATTCCGGGGTCTTATTGTTCAGATACACCTGAAAGGCACCTTTTGTCGAGGAACTTTTGATACTCATCTCCACTTGCATTCTACTTCTTCGTTTTGGGTTGTAGTGCGGCACACTTCTCAAGGTACAACTTCCGCAGCCATTCACATAGACGGTTACGTCCTTCTTCCGGGATCCGTTCATCATTCTCGTCATTGATTGCCCGCCACACTTTGATGTCATCAGCAGACATGACTCCTTTGCAGTACAGTCCATTCATGCAGTCATTGACATCAATCAAAACAGTAGTGGACCGAGTACAGAGCCCTGAGGTACTCCACTCAGAACTGGCACTGGCGTTGATTTGGCGTCGCCAATGCACACAGATTGCGATTAGCCGGTGAAGAAGTCCTCTACCCAGTTCTTTGTAGATTTAGTCTCATCCGGAACTCTTTGACTCTGTCGAAAGGCATGTTGGGCACTATCAAAGAAATACCTTTCTTCGATGAACTTTATAATAGTTTTTTGACCACCCTTTCAATAATCTTCCAGCAAATGTATGTTGAGCTCGCCGGCGGATAATTGTTGGCACTTGTTCTGGACGCCTCTTTCCAATCAGGGAGGTATGTGTCTTGGTCAAAGGACGACTAGAAAATATACAAAAGCGGTCCGGCGAGTTCGCAAGCAAGCTACTTCCGAAATTTTGCCGTTATTTGGTCCGGACCTAGAGACTTATAATCTTTAGGCGCAAGAATTCCCTTCATCATATCTTCTGCGAGATCTGTTATTTCTATTATTGCATCATCTACTCCAGTAGGCAATTTAGCCTGGTCAAAGACCGTTTTATCTGTGAAAACAGGGAAAAAATACCGACTTAGGTGTTCTGCAGTACCGTCATTTTCGGTGATGTTCTCATTTTTGTTCTTTTTTCAACGTTGCCACTGTCTCTTTGTTTGTTAACTTCCTGTTGATTTAGATGGAAAGTACGTTTGGCTTATCAACAGTCCGTCCCATTATTCGCGTTTCATACTTCCTCCTCTCGTAGCCAGATGGGCTGGTCAGTTGACGTCGCGTTTGTGGATCATACTCTAATGCTTGAGCTCGTCGGTAGATGGATGTCTAAAGTCGGTCGAGTAACGCCTGGATAGACCATTCTTACTTATACGAGATTAATAACTACTAAACGAACTGTTGTCAAGCTCACGATATGGTGCCACAGAAACGCCCGCCCTCCGAGTTTATTTGAATTTAGTCGGTGGTATAGGGTAGAATCATTGTCGCGTAAGATTAAATTGCCAGCTGATAAAGTATTTTTTAAAATTTCGAGTGCACCAACCCGGAAGTTCTACTGTTTTTTGAGTCTTTGTATCTTGACTTTATTTCCTACTGTGTCACTTGGAAATCCCACCCGAATCCCCCCCAACAAAAGATACAGTAATTACTCCTATCATTTTGCGCCGGTAAAGCATATCTCATATTTGCTTTCAACAGCGGTCTGCAAACGTCTACATATCTGTACAGGGCTCTCTATTTGGCGGCCTTTCTCCAAGATCCCCTCCAACGTACGGACTGGCAAGATGGCTGTTTCGGCGCCTCAAATTTCTGACCGCTGATTCGGACACCACGGTCTGTTTGTCAACGCAATTCCTGGAGAAGCTTAAAGGAGTAAGTCTCTTGCCCAATGAGGTCATGGTATCTTTTGATGTCACGTCCCTCTTTACTTCTATCCCCCAGGATCTGGCAATCGAGACCGTCCAGCTACTCCTACGAAACAAATACGATGAAACGGAGAATCGTCTCGGACATGCCCAAGTCCTTCAGCTCCTAAAGTTCTGTCTCAGGACGTACTTCACGTTTGACGGAACAATCTACGAGCAAGTGAAGGGAACACCAATGGGCTCGCCGATTTCGGGATTCATCGCCGAGGCGATGCTACAGCGGTTGGAGTCTCTGGTCTTCCAACACCACAGACCGAAACTCTGGGCTCGGTATGTGGACGATACCTTCGTCGTCATCGAACAGGGATCAGGTGCTAACGTTCAAAGAACGTCTCAACAGCGTCTTCCCGGACATACAATTCACGATGGAGGAGGAAGAGAATAACCAGCTGGCATTCCTTGATGTCCTCGTCTGTCGCAAAGATTGTGGTGGGCTAAAGACCAAAGTGTTCAGAAAGCAACGAACACGACGCAAATTCTGAACTTCGACAGTAACCACCCAATCTGCCACAAACGCAGTTGCGTAAGAACGCTATTTCGGCGTGTTGAGACGCACTGCAGTGAACCGGAAGACAAGGTTGCCGAATCCCAATATCTTCGACGGGTTTTCCGAGAAAACGGTTACCCGCGCAACTTCGTCAACCAGTGCCTGCGCAAACAAGACGAGCGACAAAATCGCGCCGACCCCAAATTCTGGCGAGCGATCCCGTACATCAAGAACGTCTCCGAGGCCGTTAGCCGCCTTCTTGCACCACTTGGGGTTGGAGTTGCGCACAGACCGGAGGCCACCATGAGGCGTCAAGTGATGAGACCAAAAGACCCACTGCCATGGCAAGAAACATCTGGAGTCGTTTACCGGATCTGGTGCAGTTGCGGACAAAGCAACTACGTCGGAGAAACTGGAAGACTGCTCCGGACGCGAAACGCCGAACACGCGGCAGCTGTACGGAGAAATGACGCCAACTCTCAGGTCGCGGCCCATTCGACGAGACCCGGCCACACATTCAATTTCGATGAGGCCGAAATTCTCGCGAGAGGGGATAATCGCGTGAGCCGCGAGTTGCTTGAGTCATGGTTCACGGGACCTCAGTCTATCAACAAGTGCAACGACATCCCCACTCCATATTCTGTCCTGAGGCATAGACTGGCCAAAGCAATTTAACACTCGAGGAGCGCGCAGGCACGTGAGCCAGATGGCCGAGCAATCATCACGCCAGCATCCAACACGGGTGATGAGATGTCAGCAATTAACAACTTGCATGCCGGCCATCAAGCAATTAGCGCACCAGCGGGCAACAATCCTTGATGAAGGGAGCACGGTTAATTGCTGTAGGTATGCGGTAGCATGGCGACCGCATCCTATAAATACTGCGACTGCCTGTAAACTAGCCACCCTTTTCTGCAACTGTCTCTGATGATGGATTCAAGAGAGAATCCGAAACGTCTGGCGAATAAAGCCATTGTTCTAGCGATCGTTTCTTCTTCTGATCAACTAATTCCTGGAACTCGCATTTTCGCTTGTATCGGCAAAAACTTATCTGTAAGCGGGGCGTAGGGGTGTCAAGTTTTGGGTCCGCGTGACGGTCATAGTAGGCCGCTCACTTGCAGGTGTGTACTACGCCTAGCGTCCATTAACTGACATCCAACTCTCACATGTGGCTTCCCGAAGCATTGTGATTAAAATTAAAGATGCGTTGTGTACCTAATCGGAATTTCCTGACCGTATAGAGACCACCCAATTAAACTCCAGAGGTTTATGGGCAAATTTATGGGTTGGTTTCAGGAATGGTTCAAAACGAAGATACGCTGTTTGTCGGAGATTTCAACGCACCTGTGATCAGCTGGAACAACTTATCAGTAAACGGTTATTTTAATTCCTTCGATCCCAGCCTCTTAATACTGACAGCTAATCTGTTTTTCGCACAGAATATCATGTTCTCAACCGGAATCAGAGAGGCTCGAATGCAAACTGTCTGAACCTCCTCCTTACAAAGGACCCAATTAGTGTGGCAAAGCTTTCTGGCGAGAAAATGTTACTTCAGTGAGAGGTGAATTATCGTTACTAAACTGGCATGACTTTCCAACAGGACATTTATTTATCGAGTGGAACACTGCCATAGGAGTTATAAGCGACTATGTGTATCGTAATTGCACGACAAAAAAGTTCAAAAGAAAATCATCCTCTCAATTTAACACGGAAGAACGTTGGAGTAGGTACGTAGCAAAAAATAACCATCGCATTCGCGCAGTGTCGCCGAGAGCGAAACGGGATAGGGTCAAATGCTAGTAGGTCGCAGAAGGAGTATATATGTGCATATGTATTTGGGGGTGCGGGTATTTACAGTTGTGAGTCCGCATGACGGTCGTAGCAGGTCGCTCACTTGCTTGCAGGTGTAGGTTCACATAGCGTCCGTTTGCTGGCACCCAACTCCCACGTGTGGCTCCCAGAAGCTAGACTCTGCACAGCGGCCACACCCCGGCAACCACCTCGACTGGCGGGCTAAACCAGTTGGGGATATCTTTGTGCGCATCTCTGCACACGGTAACTCCGCTCTGCCCCCCCCCCCCATCGCTGGCCGGATAGATTACCGACTTGTAATCTCCGAGATGCTGCTCCATCTGTAACCCCGTAGGAGTCCACAAGCAGCCAGCAAGCTCCTGACTTAGTGGATGGAAGGCGGCCCATTTATACTCCTTCGTACCTATTCTCAGCCCTTCTCACCTGTCCCTCACTCACTCTGCCCTCTGCCCTGTCCTACCCTAACCGCAGGGTCGGAAATCCCACGGATAACTGAATAGCCACATATAAGACGAAGGTTCGTCCGCAACCCCGTTGGGAGCGACAAGGCAAGTGACCCCAAGGTAAGCTTATTGCCTGCATTGCCTGCATTGGCTGGCTTTGTCTGCTTGTCTGTGTTTGTCCCTGTTGTAAGCCAATTGCTGTTCTCTTGAACGCCAGTCTGTTGAAATTTCCTGTTCACCGTTTATATTTCAGCAATCAGTTCGCATAGAGAGAAACGGGAAAGCTCTGCTACCCGTCTCTTTACTCTTCCCTCATCCCCTTCCTCCTTAAAGTCCTGCGGCGATATCGTAGGCAGGCCCAGTCTAACTTGGGTCGTTCTCCCACTAAACAAAGTCTATGGCCCATAGTGGAGTTCCGCAATCGTCTGGGATGTCTTAGCAACCCTAGTAAGGTACAGCACTGCTCACCCACGCAAAGGGGAGAGGGATAGAAAAGGTGCCCTTCACAAATGTTGGGATCACGTACTCTACTCGCTGACCGTGGCTCGCAGACGCAAAACACAGAGTCGAAACAATCAAGCAAAAAACAGCGCTCTCTCTCTTCCTTATCCTCCTCCCCACCGCCCCACTCGCCATACTGGTAGGGTAAGTCCGATCACTCCAACAGCCTGGAATATTCCTTCCCTTTTAGACAATCTGAGGAACAACCGACCGGAACGGAGGACGGCGTTAGTGGCTCGGGAACCGGCGCGATACAAGGTGGACATCGCGGCATTCAGCAAGACTCGGTTCACAGAACAAGGCCAACTGGAGGAGGTGGGTCCCGGTTACACCTTCTGGAGCGGTCGCCCCAAGGCAGAGAGACGGGACGCAGATATCGCCTTCGCCATCCGGAATGACGTCATAGGACGACTGCTCTGTCTGCCGCAGGGCACTAACGACCGCCTGATGAACCTCTGCTTACTTCTTTAGGGAGGCATATTCGCCATCACCCTCAGTGTTTACGTCTCCTCCATTATGGCCAGCCCTGACACTGCAAAGAACAAATTCTATGAGGACCTGTACGCTCCCCTGGCGTCTGTGCTGGAGGCGGATAAATTGATTATGCTCAGTGACTTCAACGCCCGCGTTGACACAGGCCATGCTGCCTGGAGAGAAATACTAGGTCTCCATGGCACCCACGACAATGGCCTTCTTCTCCTACAAACTTGCGAAGAACACCGGCAAGGCGAGACCGGCGGGACGTTCTGGTGACAAAGGCGATCCCACGTGCCGACGAGTGGACTAACCATCGTTTCTTCATCTCCAAGATGAGGACTCGCCTACAGCTTCACAGGAGACCTCACTGTAAGCTGAATATTACTGTGCTGCGTTGGCCTGCCCACCATCTCCAATTCGGCAATGACCTAGCTCAAAAACTAGCCAGTCTTTCAGTCGCCGCCGTTGCCGCTGATGAGAACTCCTGCATGAAGAACCTATGGTGTTAACTGTGGGACACAGTCCAGCCGACGGCCCGGACTGTCCTCGTTCACCTACAACGCCAACACCAGCACTGGTTTGATGACAACGACGCCGCCATCAGCAACCTGCTTGCCAAGAAGAACCGGCTGCACAAAGCTTACGTCACTTGCCCCGCCGACGACAACAAAGCAACCCTCTACCATAGTCGTCGACTTGTGCAACAGCGTCTCCGCGAGATGCAGGACGCTTGGAAGGTTCGCAAGGCCGAGGAGATCTGAGATTACGCGAATCGCAACAAACTGGAGAGTTTTTTCTCCGCGATCAAGGCTGTCTACGGTCCCACAGCCAAAGCTTCTGCACCTTTTCTCAGCGCCGACGGCAGTACCCCCACTCACCGAGAAGGCACTAATTCGTAAGCGATAGGCCGAGTACTTCAGAAGCGTCCTCAACCGCCGCTCCACCATCTCCGACGCCGCAATCGCCCGTCTGCCGCAAGTGGAGACCAATGTCGATCCCGACTTCCCGCCCTCTCTCCACGAAACCATCAGGGCCGTGCAGGAGCTCTCCAGCGGAAAGCGCCCGGATCGGACGCAATTATTGCTGAGATCTAAAAGCAAGTTGTCCCACAGCACATGGATCATCTGACGGAGCTCCTCCAGAAGAGGTAACGTCAAGTACAATTCCCCCAGGATTTCAAGGACGCCACTGTCGTCCATCTCTATAAACGGAAAGGTAATCACCATCTCTGCGAAATCTATCGAGACATCTTACTGCTGAACATCGCTGGGAAGACGTTTGCTCGCATTCTCCTCAACCGTCTGAACCACCATCTGGAACAATGTCTCCTGCCGGAAAACCAGTGCGGATCCTGCAGTCATTGTGACGCACAATCGAGCAATATCTGAGACATTCGACTGTCATGCCTCTGTAGCCGTGGTACTCTAATCTACTTAATGTTTGAGAAACGGAGCAGGGACTGCTAGAAGTGCTTCGACAGAAGGTGAACCGGGGCTAACCAGTGATAACTTGGTTGAACAAATTGCGGAGTTGTTCTTCCTACTTAGTGACCCGCTGAGCCAGTGAACAATTTTTCGTAGTAATCAGTCAGTCAGTCAGTCAGTATATTTGGAGTAAACAACAGAAGCCATGAAAACTCCATTTGGAGGGTACAGGTATAAAGTAAAATAGTTAAATTGCAAAACTTTTGCTTGCAGTTTTAGTAGGGAGAATTCATAAATCTAATAATGTAACATAAAGGTGAAAGGGGTATTATATTCGCAAAATAATTGCGAAAAACTTTGTTCACCACATTCGGACTGTGAAAATTTCAATATGGGCTAAGTTTGACGCAAAAAATAGGATCTGTTGAAATCATGTTAGTAGTATATTTATAGTCATTTCATTAATCCGTTGGATCAGGCTTCGGCAGTTGGGGTCGCCTTTCAGCAGGTGAGTATCCAGTTGTCTCTTGAACACGTTCACGGTAGGGGAATTAACAACAAACTCCGGCAAAGAGTTCCATTGGCGAATGACCCTCTGTGAGAAAAAGGAGGAACGTTGATTTGTGTGGCACAGTTCCTTTTTAAGCTGGTAATCATGTCGTCTGAGATTGGATTTGGATGCCATTTCAAAAAACGTTTCCCAGTCAACATCCAGATTAAGTCCTTTTACCAACTGGAACGTTGCTATGAGGTCACCTCTGTCCTGCCTGTAGTGGAGGGGATAGAGGTTCAAGGCCGTCAGGCGCTGCTCGTACGTGAAGTTTTTGAGGCCATGAACAGCCTTCGTAGCACGCCGTTGTACACCTTCAAGGCTATCTATATCCTTCCGAAGCCACGGCCGCCAAGCCTGTACCGCATATTCCAGGTGCGGCCGCACAAATGTTCCGTATACTTTGCCAAAGACATCTTTATTCAATTGAATAAACGTTCTGCGTATCGCGCTCATAACGGACATTGCCCGCGCAGCGACTTTAGAACACTGCGTGGTGACGTTTAGATCGTCTTTAATGAATACACCGAGATCTTTTTGCACATCTACGGTTTTAAGTGGTTGATTGTCCAGGAGATACTGTCGTGGGGGTGCATTTGTTCTTCGCCTCGCTGATACTACGGGCATTACTGCACATTTTTTGACGTTGAATTTCATGCACCATTTCTCGCTCCATGCGTGCAAATTCGTTACGTCCTCTTGTAGCATCCTGACGTCATCTTCATCTTTTATCGCTCTCCAAAGTTTAAGGTCGTCTGCAAAGAGCGCTATGTCTGATTTCACTTCCCGTACCAGGTCATTTACATAGATAATGAATAGGAGCGGCCCAAGAACTGACCCCTGTGGGACTCCACTCGTAACAGGTGCCCATTCTGAGCAGTAGCCGCCCGCAGTGACTTTTTGTTGCCGTCCGTTTAGGAAATCTTGAATCCAGTTCAGAAGATTTCCTCTTATCCCTACTTCTGATAACTTTTGAATGAGGCGCTTATGTGGGACGCAATCGAACGCCTTGCTGAAGTCAAAGTAAATGACATCAACTGGATATCCTTTATCCATGGCCTTTGACCAATGTTCGAGTGACGAAAGCAGATTTGTGAGGCAGGACCTCTTTTCGCAGAAGCCATGTTGAACTGAGGCGATGTGACAGCGGAAAGTATCGAGTGATGTAATAGATTTTTAACTAGCCTTTCCATCAGTTTGCAGCAAATGCATGTCAAACTAACCGGCCGGTAGTTGGTGGGACATAGCCGTGATCCTCCTTTGTGGATATGTACGACGTTTGCCAACTTCCATGTGTCAGGTAGTTTGCCAGCTTCCAGCGATTTTTGGAAGATTATAGAAAGTGGCTCTGCTAATTCTTCAGCTAGCTGACGCAGGAGTACACCTGCGATCTCATCTGGTCCAGGTGACTTGGCAGGATCCAGCTTATTTAGCTCTGCTAAAACTAACTGCGGAGTAAAAAATACTGTGCATATAAGTGGCTGGTTGGCGGGCAGTGGAAGAGAACATGACTGGAGGGGTGGTTCCGTGGTGTAGACACTTTGGAAAAACTCGGAAAGAAGCTCGGCTTTTTGAAAGCCATCGCTCACAATTCGGTTATTTTTGTCCTTTAAGGTTGCCAGATGGTCCCGGTTTTTCGTATTGCTCCTGATATATGCATAGAACGCTTTAGGTTTTTGCTGCGCCTCTTCTAGGAGCTTAATTTCATAAGAAGCTCGTACTTCTCGGATGAGTCTTTTGCATACGTTTCGTTGTTGTCTGAATTCCTGAAGTTTTTCTGGGTTCTCCGTTTGTAAGAAGATTTTCCACAGCTTCCGTTTTTTTCGGATTTCCTTCTTAACCGCTGTTGTCAGCCATTTCGGCTTGTTTCCGGTTGGATGTTTCTTGAGGGGACAGTACCGTTCAATCAGGTCTCTCATAGTTGATTCGAAGGTTGTCCAGCATTCGTTGACGTCTCCTCGTAATGCTTCGGTCCATAGTGTGTGTCCAATCTCTGATTTCATTGCCTCAAAGTTACCCCGCCAGACATTTCTTAACGACTTTGAGCTTCGTTCGGGGACAGCTACGAGTGTCGACTCCCACATTAATGTCATGTTATCACAAAAACCTAGGGGCGGGCCTACATTTATTTCATCAACGCTTTCCTCGTTTTTAGTAAACACAAGGTCCAGGCAACTAGCTCTCTGACCTTCACGCATCCGAGTCACAGTTCGTACATGTTGAAACAGAAATTCATCAAATGTCATGTCTAATAGCATTTGGTCGAATCCTTGTCTGTGGCCCTTAACTGTCATAAGGTCCCAATTAATCCGCGGAGCATTAAATCTCCTACAATAATAATGTTTTGCTTTCGACTGTCCTCGCGGAGTCGAGTGATTAACGCTTGATCTTCGTCGGCAGGTTGATTTGGAGGTCTATATACAACGGTGATGGTAACGTTTTCGGCTTTGGGAACCAGCAAATGACACTGCAGCAGCTCCAGATCATGCTCATTTACACATTCTTCAACAGGGTTATATTCGACCGCATTGCTGATATACAGGGCAACTCCGCCACCTCGCCTTTTGGTTCGGTCTCGTCTTAACACTTGATAACCATCTAACTGTATTTGGGGGTCTGTGACATCTGGGGTGAGCCACGTTTCAGTTAATGCAATAACATCAGGACATAGTTCGGCCACAATTATTTTAAGTTCATCGAGTTTGTTCAAGAGGCTTTGTTGTTGTGTCGAATTAGTTGCTCGGCCGTGTGGCCTTCGTTAGTATGACAGGCGTCCTCCACAGGAGGGGTCTTTGTCGTCGAACAATCACTCCGTTCATTATTACTAGTCCTTTCTCTCCTTGTTCTTTCAAGGTCGCCAGCTCCGCCTTCAGCGCCCTCAATTTCATTCTCTCTTGTACTGAGTAATCCGGTTGAAAAAAAAGACCTTTATGGCCAGGGATCCCCCCTACTCTTCGTTCAAGTAGAAGATCCCTCTGGAGTTTACTTTCTAAAACTATCTTTAAAGGCCTTGGTTTCAGCCCTTGAGAGCTCGCGCTATCTTTACTGTTTAGTCGGAAAAGTTTCAGAATCTTAGTGGCTTCATCTTCTTTTATTATGCTATCCAGACACCCTTGCAAGGTCATGATATCATCATTTATCCTACATCTAGGGTTATCGTTCGTTGATTCACGAAGTCCATGGACGACTATGCATTGTGATCTGTCCACAGCACCTCCATTCGACGAATTTTGTTGAATAATTGGTCTGACCGATGATGATGAGGCTTCCCCATGTTGGGCTTCGACGCTAGTTGCAGGAATATTCGTGAGAGTATGTACTTTCACTCCCACTCTGGGTTCATTTTTATTCGGTCCTGTGTTGGTCGACGCTCCCCTCACACTAGGCTCAGGAGGTGCGCATACTGTCTGGGGACTGGTTTCCTCTTTCGTCGGTCCATCTTTATCATTTTCCTCCTCGGCCCTTGGTTTCTTTTCTGGCGAGTCTGACACCTTCGCCTTCGGATTTTTGCAACCTTTCTCCATAGTCTTTCCTGTCGCCTTTTTCTCATTCTTTACTGATTTTGAAGGTTTCACGTCACCACTGATAACTGGAGTCTGATACTGCTTATACTGGGTGTCTCGCGCTCTACTCCTCGTTACCCTGTGCGTAGATGCTGCCAACTGATCCTCTGTCATGAAAGTCTGCTGGATAAAATTCTTCATGTTTTTAACTTCTTCCTCTAGTTGATTTAACTTTGAGGCTAACGTTTGACAACCGCTGCAAGAGGTTTCCACATGCGTCGGTCGTAACCAATTTGTAAGGCTTTTAGAGCGACCGCCCAGGCGTGCGGCGATAGCGCAGTGGTCTGCGTCACAGTCTTCAGCTCGAGTGGTCCCGGGTTCGACGGAAAGTCTCTGGCCTCGTTCTGGTCGTTGAGAGTCACCGTATAAGATGAATATCTTCGTCTTAAAGAGGTTCGTCGAGTAAATACAGGAAGCAGCTGTTTAGTTCTAGGACTTTATCGAGTACGTTCGAAATATGATGCATTCAACGAATAATATTAGAAGAGTAACTCAGCCTAAGCGGGAGTTGTTCCAGATGTTTCGATGGAAAGATAATCCGAGTTTCTTGGCTCACAAACAGCAGAAATGAGGAATGTCTGAAGTCCGCGTCCTGCGAATCAGCCTTTGTCGCCAAGAATCGATTGAACAATCGCTGACATTTCCTTAAACGAAGCTAAAAGAAGTAGAAAGACCGTTATGAAGCGTCTAGGGACGAAAGTAAGTTATTTTTTTACATCTAAACCGGTTTCAACCGACCCCCACCGGCAGCGCCATCTGCCAGTTCACTTTTATAACTTCCAGAACCACCTTCGTGGGCTTAAAGAATGCCTTTGATACGGCGAATCTCGGAGGACTGTGAAAAAAACAGTCAGAAATCCGGCTGTCCTGAACGATTCACGCCCCACGGCAGGATGATGGCGCGCGTCACGGACAACGGTGCAATCTCCGAGACATTTTCAGTGACCAACGGAGTGAAGCAAGGCTGCGCCCCCGGGCTTACCCTATTCGTTATCATGTTCTCTGCCTTGCTGATGGAGGCATGCCGTGACGATCGGCATCGCCTACAAGACGGACGGCTAAATCTTTAACCACCGACGAATGCACTTTCAGTCGCCTGTACCCACAAAGACCGCCCATGAACTTCTCTTCGCCGACGACTGTGTCCTCAGCGCTATCTCGGAAGGCGACATACAAAGGAGCATTAACTTCTTTCCGGCCGCCTATGTCAACTTTGGCCTGGTTATAAATTCGAGAAAACGGTGGATATGCATAAACTACCACCTGACGCTACCTACGTCGCACCCCAAATCAACGTGGGCGGCGCCCAACCGCAAGCCGTGGGCAATTTTACCTACCAGCGCAGCACTCTCTCCACCAGCACCAAAATCGATGATGAATTGACCCGCCGCCTTCCCAAAGCCAGCCAAGCCTTTGGCCGTCTGCGAAACACAGTTTGGAGTCGACAAGGTCTCCACATCAACACGAAACTGGAGATGTACAAAGTGGTCACCCTGCCGAAGCTTCTGTGCGGAGCGGAGACCTGGACGGTTTACAAAAAACAGACTCAGAGGTCCAGTCACTTCCACCTCAGCTGTCTCCGACGGATGATGAAGCTGAGGTGGCAGAACCGGATCCCTGACACGGCTGTACTTGAGCGAACGGGAATCCTCAACATATACGCCATGGTAAGACAACTGCAACTGCGTTGGAGCGGCCTGCTTGTTCGAATGGACGACGAGCGGATACCAAACGAGTCTTCCACGAAGATGTTGTAACAAGTTCCTGCGGACAAGGAGGTCAAATGCAGCGCTACAAGGAGGCCCTGAAGATATCCTTGAGGCGCCCACGCATCGGCCCGAGAGACTGGAAGACCTCGCCCCAGACCGACAACCTAGCGGAGGACAGTGAAGACAGGCGCAGGGCTCTACTAAGCCAACCGCATCACCGCCGCCAAAGCCAAACACAAAGCTCGGATATCTCAACTGCTCCCGCCTCGCAACGCAAACAATCCACCGTCCCCGACTTGCCTACTATGCCGGAGGACGTTCCATGCACTGATCGGTCTTATTGGACGACTTCGTACCAACTGCAGCACCCGGACGACCCCACCCGATGTCCCCCGTCCGCACCTCCCTTGTCCCCCACGTCGACAATCAACAGTGACCGCCCATCTGAACCCCCAGTGCCATCCTCCTCCGTCGCCAAAACATCCACTGCGACGGCTTCGGCACCCACCGCCACTGCACCGTCAAATGCCAACCTCACTACCGCTACTATCAGCGATGTGGACTCGGTTCATACCTGTCCTCATTGCGATCGTACCTTCAGCTCACACATCGGTCTGGTCGGTCATTTGCGAATACATCGCACAGCGACTGGCGAACCGGTGCCTGGAGCACCACTATCCACCAGACGCATCCGCCTCAACTGCCCTCACTGCGCCCGTACATTCACCCGTCGCATGGGCCTATAAGGCCACATGCGCATTTACGAAAACCTGTGGTGCACAACCGCCGGCTAAACCACATCGTCACATTTTCCTCCAGGTACATCAGGCAACATCGTTATCCGCCACAAACAGCCATTTGCCACCTCTCACGCAAGTGGGAGTGTGTGTCTTGGCTCCGTCTCCAGACGGCTCATCTGCTGCATGTGCCTGGATGCATCTAGGAGTCGAAGCACTGATGGTTATTTGCAACCCGTTGTTAAGGCTAAACAGCTTAATCCGTCCGCTGTATATAATTGCAATGATGCCGTGCTGAAAATATAAATCGATTCTCTTCATTCTTGGGAGCTTATTCGACAGTAGCATTTCTGATATTCCCTCTCACGAATGTGAACGTATTGACTCGTTCGTCCAATTAAATGTAAGTGAGGCTTTTTCTTAGAAAAGAAAACAGTTTCCGTTTAAAAATTGTGATGTTATTGTCGATGTCATGTACCCATGCGTCTCTAACTACGGAATAGCAAACCCAAAACATCTCTCCGCAGGTAAGAAAATCCGCTCATCCTAGTTTTGGTTTTCTCTGACAATCGATTCGCTCTTCGCCCACCATGATCGCACTTCTTGTTATTTGGAAAAAGTAAAGTTTTTCCTTGGTTAAGATCTTATACTGATGGAGCATGAAATCGGGTCTCTCCTCCCAAGCAGACCATCGGCATCTCAACCTAATGCTCATAAGTACGGTCATAGGACTGAAAACCTAAAAAACTAGTTAGTTGTACACCTCAGAAGCCCGCTTCAAGAATCCTCTACGCTTCTCATCTTCCAACTAATTTATTAAGGCCTTCTGCCTCGAGAAAAGTAAGCGCTACCGCAGTTGTTTTAATCCTTTTTCAGTCTCACTGTAATGTGCATGATTCCATCCAGAAGCGCAGACCAACAAATGCATCACAGAGTAGTTCTCCTTGAATTTCTGCTAAATCTTTCGAGCCATATAGTAGAAGGATCGGGTTTTGAAGACAACATCTGCCCTCACCCCAAACGAAAGGCAGCTTACTGCCAGTTAGTGGACCGTTACCACCTTTTCGATCCCTTCAGTCTTTGCAGTCCATCTAATCTTTGAGCGCCGCAGGCCATAGTATACATAGAATGCCTTGCTTGACAAGCACGGTATCAATCAAGGGCCTCTTATTTCAACTACTAACAGTCCTGACGTGATTCTTCTAAACTCTGACCTTGGTTACAGTTCAGACCTCTCGTAACTTAGTGCCAATAGTTCTGACGTGAATATCCCTAACCTCCGTCCGAGTTCAGGCATCCCCCCAGTTAATTCCTATGGCCACCTGTCCGTCCCCTCTATCTTCCTTCCAGGCTGTCCTCCTTCCCCGTTGACCACCAGCAAACTTCTTCTTATTCAAACTCTCCTGCCACCTTGGATATCAGAAAACTGCAAACCCAAATACTTAAGATCTTCCTATCAGCCACCCTCCATATGCCAGTATTTCTGGAAATGTAGGAACCTTTTTTACAGACAATACTTGCCTGCAGCCTAGTTATTCACTGCTAAGTTATTTTTCTAAATAACGTTAACCACAGGCCCGACACTCAAACGATGCTAAACGCCATACTACTAAATCCTAGGTCCAGTATAAATAGGATGACCCAACTTAGATCTGTTGCTTCCCAACTGACGCCTGATATTATACGAGTGCCTGCAGCTTGGACTCACCCCCTAATTCCCGACTCTTCCCTTGACATAGATAATTTCGACTTCTACCGTCAAGATCGCATTTCCAGGCTTAGTGGTTGTCTTCTCTATAGAAGAGCTTTCTTAAAGCATTTCCCTTATGGTCTTAATACCCCGTCATTCTCCGGAAATTACTGCTTCGACTCTATCGTTCTCCCGTCCTAAAGAGAGGCTAATCTTTGATACATTTACAATCTCCCTAATTCATTATCACCTGATGATGGTGATGATGACGAAGATGCTTGTGGAATCTTTAAATTAGTTCCTGAGTCTGCTTTCGACGTTAAAATAACCGCCAGGCGGACATTGTCGTCTGTTACGGTTAAACTGTCAAATCTCGTGAACAGATTTATGGAACTATAGACCGGCATACCAACGAGGTGGATTAAGACTTCCTTCCTAGTTCCAGAAACCACAGCAAACAATCAACCCAACAAGCCGACCTGTTAGGAGAGACGCCATCCATCCGTTGTTTGGACATCAGGAAAGCTATGGTCGGCATGCGCTCGCAGGACTTGTCAACGGCCGAATAAGATGAGACGAGAAATTTTCCGCTCATAAGTAACAAGACGGGTATCCTCAAAAGCACTGCAACCCAGCACTAGCCTGTAGAAAGAGAGGAAATGCTGCCAGCCCCACCCATGAGGCTGCCCGGTATTTCGGATAGTGGTCGTTCAATTCGTGACCGCGCCTCGTTAAGGGGACTGTCAACCAGATCGCGAAAAGATGCTTCTCCACAGACAGTATACTGTTGCTGCTGCAAAAAGCAGCCAAAGTGTGCTGGAGAGAGTCAAGGTATTAAAATGTACATGTGTTGGCGCCAGTGAGGGGGTAAAACACAAGCTGTTATTAGTAGTGTTGGGCAGGTGTCCAAATCGTGGTGAGTCTGCGATTGTAAATATTATCACCAGCGTGATTAGCATTATCAACAGTAAAAAGTCAACAGTATCATCACAGCGGAAGCAGAGAGGGGGGGGGCGGAGAGAATAGAAGAGGAAAGGACCACTTGACTAGAATCTGGGCAAATAAAATGGACGCCACGAGGTGTGGGCGGTCAAGACGTCATGCAAAATCCCCGAATGGATAGCTGGGGCAATGAGGGCGGATGGCCCAGGAGCAGCAGACAAGAAACTTCAGTCTACACCTCCGCGATCCTGATCTAAAAAGGCAACGAATGAGAGCTTTATCGGCAGAAAAAAAGACGGGTAAAGATAAGGTTTTAGAAACAGGCTGTCGTCAGCTAGCAAACAATAGGCAGGACAGTGGCACAACTAGAAGGCCCGTCTAACCTCGGGATCCGCCACGCTACCATTGGTGGAGTGAGCAGACCAATCCGTTGACTGGGTCAATACCACAGCGGGGACGCTTGGGACTAGGACGTGAGAGGCAGAGGAGACATTGGGGTCGACTGTCGTTCCCGCGTCTTCAGCGCCTTCATCCGTGGCAGGAACCACGGGCTGAGCAGTCAAATGACCGTTAGGAGTGCCCTGGTGTTGTTGTTGCTGCTGCTGGGATCGCCGATGAGAGCTCCGTTGCTGCCGCTGCTGTTGGTGTCCACGTGAGGAACTGTGCTCATCATGCCGCGAATGTGAACGTCGACCAGAGACGCTGCGAGTTGAGGACTGTAAAGTGGACCGCCCTTTCGAATGACTTGTTCCAGATGAGGGCGCAGCAGTGACACCTAGAAAAGGAAGAGCGCGGTTATTTCGCGTGAACCTCACTGCAATTCAAGAGCAACATTAACTATTAAGAAATGAGGTAACAAAAAGGCGGTACTTGTCCTGGATGCGGGCACTGAACCAGATGACGAGGAGGGGTGACGCTTCACGTCGGATGGGCAGGTAGATGCGGTAGTTATGCCGAGTGAGGTCATAAGCACCTCGTCTTCGGCCGAGAGTGCTGGCGCCTCAGCAGACGATTTGCGACCTTTAAAAAGACACCACGTAATTCGGTTAACATTTTCACGTTTGCGGGACCCAGTATGCAAAGGCTAGTTGGATTACAAATGAGGTTGAAAATTCGAGTTGCAGACAGTGGATGGCCGGCAGAAAATTTCATAGAACAAA